TTATTTCTGCTTATTTTTATTGCAACAATGAGGAATTAACCAGTCGCATCAAGTCTTTTTGAGATGTCAAAGATCATCAAAGCTAACAGAAATAATAAATTATGTAAATAATTCTAAGAAACAGAAACTGTAAGATATTACTGGATTAAAAACTTCATTCGTTTCAAAAATATACAAATTAGAAATAACAGTCAGCTTGTTTCAACCGCTCAAAAACAGGCGTCCATTTTCAAAACTTAAAAGACGTGATTGAGAAGAAACAAAAGTGATTTGAAATCACTTTTTTCTTCAAATTACTTTTTTGTTTTATTTTTGTGCTCATGAAATCTGTCGACTATTACTTCAAATTTGTATATATTTGAAGTGAATGGAGTCTTAAATCTAGTAATAACAGAAATAATGTTTTCCATAGATTTAACGACATTTAAGAGCTTGTACTTATAGTAACTCAGATACAAATGACTTCTTAAAAAATTTGGATCATGTATTGAACAATATTGTTCAAATCTGTTGCAACCTTTATTTAATATGTTGCTAACGTAAACTATGTTTATTACTTCTTTAATTTGATTGCATGTTTTTATGTTTCGATTTAGACGTTTGCATAGTTTCATTTAACTCTTTATAAATTTTTCAGGAACTTGCACCGTATTGTAGTATGAGGTTATATTCGGATTAAAGGCTGAATTAATTGATCTAAGAGGGAGTGTTTTTATATGCTAAATCTCATGAATTGATTTCTCAGGAATTGATATTGAATAAATTAAATATGCTTTAAAACAGAATATCTAAAATTTTTTGTAAAATCTGTTCCACGATCCACATAATTAGAATTAAATAAAGTGTCCAAAGCACTTTAAGCAGTGTGGAGTAGTTCTACTTACTGTTATAGTGTCTACAACTGTTCCAGCAGGTGCATTTTCAATTACACTGGCCTTATATTCAGGTTTGTCAAATCTTGGCGCATTGTCGTTAGTGTCTAAAATATTTACTGTTACAGTCCCCGTGCCAGACAGCTGAGGATTCGTGAAAGCTTCTTTGGCAACAACCTGTAAATATTTTTTAGTATTGATTAAGAGCAGTGAAGATCCCCAAATAAATTTGATAATTATGCTTTTTAAATAAATAATAAATGTGCAATGCATGGCATAGATAATTCTTACCAACAGGATAAATTTCCTTTGATTAGGATTTTCGTAATCAAGAGGCCCATTTGAAACTCGAATGCTAACTGAAGACGAGCCAGTCGCCAAGTTTGGCTCAACACTGAAGATGCCTGAATCATCCACTAACTCAATATTGAAGACAGAATTAGACCCCTAAAAATTATCAACAAAACCTTCATTTTGATTTAATGCCTTTTGAGGAGAAAAATAAAATTATGTTATATAACCATGCAGCATATACAGAGTATCTCAAAATTCCTGAAAGTAGTAATTTTGATATAAAACACATGCGTCTAATTACATGTTATGAATTCCTTGTTGACTTATATATTATGCGGTATTGGGGTATGACATAACATATTGGGTAACAAGTGTGTGCTAAATAGGTGTTTTGCATAAATGATGCTAAATTTCGTTGATACGGCACTCAATTTCTTCCCTTCAAACGTATGAGATTGGAATCTAGTCGTTATGAACCTTAGAAGTTAAGGCAAAAAAAAATTATCCAGCAGTGTTAAATCACATAACACGAATGGCTGATTCTGATCACAAGAAGGAAATCATGCAACTGGCAACTCATCAATGCCCAAAATATTGATTAATAATGAAAATGTATAGTTTTTTCGCGTAGTTTTCCGTTTTCAATAAACCTGAAAACCTGAACAGCTTTTGCACTTTTTCGCTTTCTATACTTCTTTCGCAATGTTTTTATGGCACAAATGATGCAAAATTCAAATCTTGCGAAGATTTAAGGCAGCTATTATAACTAAAACGTAACACTATTTCTTAAAAAAAAAGAGAATAAAATGCGTTTAGTAGGTTTTCTAACAAATAGAAAACATAGAGACGTTATTTTTTATGTTTTTTAATCAGTGAGAGATAGCCAATAATATTAATAAAAAATTGAATTAT